TAGTGGTGAGCACCCCAAGAGCAATGTGGAGAGTTCTTGAATGAAGGGATGCCGATGGTCTATTGGAAACAGCTTCTCTCTATCCCAGGATAGAGTAAGGTCTGCGGACACACTACCCTCCCCAGACCCCACTAGTGGCGTTATGTTGTTGTTGTTTGTTGTTTGGTGGTAGTTAGAACTTTTAAATTGAACTTCTAATTAGGATTTTTGGATATAACAACGACCAGGTCCCAATATCCAAGGGCAGAAATTGCCTAGATTTATGTTGGTCGTCTCTACCACAATTCACGTCCTTTACTCGAACTTTAGACCAACAATGCTAGCAAGCTCATACAGGAGGAGTAACATTTATAAATTATTATTATTATTATTATTATTATTATTATTATTATTATTATTATTAATTATTATCTATCTATATTATTATAAAAGCACGAATAATTTATGCTAAATGCCGAACGACTAAAATATCCTCCAAATATTGATCGACTTTTATGCCCTTAAATATTTATATAATATAAGAATCTAATTGAAAATTACCTAATGATGAAATTTTTTTCGATTTAAATTAAACATACACGGATCTTACTTGAATTAGAAAACCACGTCCATAATTGGTGTTATTGTTTGTAAGGTTATGTTGGCGGTTTCTATTCATGTTGTGAATTGTGATGACATCATAGATATGCAAGAACTATCTTTATGAAATAAACTACGAAAAATATGGACTTTTGTCTGTCCTTTGGTGTTGAAATTATTTTAAGCTATAAAAGGGAACAATTTCTATTATATTATTTTTCTATCTAATTTGGCAAAAGGTCTGTTGCTTAATTGCTTTGGTTCCAGGTTTCAAACATAACCAACTGACTATGCGTCGAGGTATTCTTTTTTTACTTGAGAAATTATCTTTCTTCTGCACTTTCTAGGTATTTATCTAATAAATCAAAATTGTAGTACACGTGCTTTTCTTTTTTAAAGTAGTTCTTGCGCATAAAAGAAAGAAAGAGTTAAAGAGCGAGTCACTGAAAAATTGTTGGCTCATTAGAGTGAGGTTCAGGTATGTTTTGTTTTTAATAATAAATCTCATGTAATATTCTTTTTGCTATTAATTATATTGTTTTCTCTTTGCTTTTTTATTTTAAAGAAGACCAGAAAGTTCTCTATAGTTTGCTTAACGATTCATGTATTTAGGGCACTCTATGTTTTTGACATATTTTCTTTGCTTATTTGATAATGTAACATCTGTGTCCGGTGAATTTCTCACTGTTCTCATAGAACATAGCAGTTTCAATCTTCTTAAAAGATGTCTATTTTTTGTCTTAAAGTTATTAATATTGTAGATAAGCTTTCAATAAATCTTGAGCATATGTAAAATTTTAGCGAAAGGTAACAACTAAAGTTTCTCTTTGAGATATTTAGAAGTACCAAATTTGAGATAGATGCTTATTATATTTGACATAAGATATTTCGTGCATCGCACAAATATAGAGACTAGTTATTATAAAAGCATGAATATAATGTCGGTTGACAAAAATAACTTTATAATATTAAACATAATAACTCGTGATAAAAGGACATAACTGGAATTCTAGATATTTGTCTTATAATCCTATCAGATTTAGGACATAATATTACACGTTTAGGAATCCTACCTGATTACCTTTAGGAATCATATTAGTATAATTACTTTCGGGCTGTCTAATTTATATAAAATTGAACAAATAAATATCTTTAGTCATGTATCCTATTAGTTTTAGGATATACTTCTTAAAAATTTCTATTGCTAATTTAATTTGAGAATGTATATTGTCCAAAATCTATTTAGAAAAAAGAGAGCCTATATTATTCTAAAACCATAAAAATAGCCCTAAAATATTAACGGAAGAACTCACAGGAAAGGACATAACTGCAACAACCTATTTGGACTACAATACCTTCTATGCTAATTTTTAATATTTAAGATTTTAAAATTAATAAAGTTTTGTCTATTAAATTCTTATTAAAAATATGTAGGAAGGTTTAATAAAATCAATTTCATAAGAATTCTCTGTGCGGATTGTAACGAAGAGAGCAGCTCAATAAATCTTGAGCATATGTAAAATTTTAGCGAAAGGTAACAACTAAAGTTTCTCTTTGAGATATTTAGAAGTACCAAATTTGAGATAGATGCTTATTATATTTGACATAAGATATTTCGTGCATCGCACAAATATAGAGACTAGTTATTATAAAAGCATGAATATAATGTCGGTTGACAAAAATAACTTTATAATATTAAACATAATAACTCGTGATAAAAGGACATAACTGGAATTCTAGATATTTGTCTTATAATCCTATCAGATTTAGGACATAATATTACACGTTTAGGAATCCTACCTGATTACCTTTAGGAATCATATTAGTATAATTACTTTCGGGCTGTCTAATTTATATAAAATTGAACAAATAAATATCTTTAGTCATGTATCCTATTAGTTTTAGGATATACTTCTTAAAAATTTCTATTGCTAATTTAATTTGAGAATGTATATTGTCCAAATCTATTTAGAAAAAAGAGAGCCTATATTATTCTAAAACCATAAAAATAGCCCTAAAATATTAACGGAAGAACTCACAGGAAAGGACATAACTGCAACAACCTATTTGGACTACAATACCTTCTATGCTAATTTTTAATATTTAAGATTTTAAAATTAATAAAGTTTTGTCTATTAAATTCTTATTAAAAATATGTAGGAAGGTTTAATAAAATCAATTTCATAAGAATTCTCTGTGCGGATTGTAACGAAGAGAGCAGCTCACCACAAAGTCTCCTCGGCAACTGCGCCCACGCGCCCAAATGACCACCAAAAGTACCTATCTCAGTACCTGCACAATTAGTGCAGAAGTGTAGTAAGTATCTAGCCTAATCCCGAAGAAGTAGTGACGAGGGGTCGACATCGACACTTACTAGTGGTCCAAGAAATCAAGTACACTAAAATTAGACATGTATGAAACATGGAAAGTAAAACAATAAAAGCAGATATATGTACATAATACGATCCTCAACTGAAGGGTTAATACGAAGTCCTCGAATACCAGATGCTTCCTCAAATGGAAGACATAATGGTCAACGCTAATAAAATATCACATTTTGAGTTGGGAAAACTCATAGGTGCACTGACTCCTTATCAAATATTAAGCACGATTATGTCGAGGCGAACGACCTGATCCCACAATAGTAATGGCATGATTTCTTGTCGTGGTGTACGACTCGATCCTATAATAATCGTGTACTATGCCGAAGGTCGACCAACCTGAACTATTGATGCATCTCATAATATTACCGAGGTCGTACGGCCTAATCCATAATAATATTGCTGAGGTGTTAAGTCGGATCCCATAGAAATAGTGAAACTTGATGGGTCACTGGCATCACTCACGAATATATGTGTGAGTTATGAAATTTAAGAAATTTTTCGAACAATTTCGTACAATGCGGGAGAATTCATAAAAGGAAGTACAATTCTACTGCTAATCAAGTAGCACGCTAAATATCTAAAATAGCAATTCTGATATTTTAAGCAAGTCTAGTCTCAGGTAAAAATGTAAATTAAAGCTTTTAAACAAGTAAGAATAACTCAAGTATTGCAATTAAAGCATGGCATGAGTTTAGGTCTATATGGACCTAATCAGAAATTTTAGCATACACATGGACACTCGTCACCTCATACGTGCGTAGCACATAAAAAATATAACACCTATTGGATAAATTTCCCCTTGCAAGGTTAGGAGATTTACCTCGACCCGAAATTCGATAACCGGCTCCAACGCTTCTCTAACACCTCAAACCAATGCCAACTGATCCGAAACTTATATAAGAACGTGCAAACCAATCAAATATACTCAAAGACTCGTAATTTAATCACTTAGAAATAATCCCCAACTCCACATGAAAAGTCAACAAAGTCAACCCCCGGGTCCACGCACCCGGATTTCGAAAATTCTCGAAGTTAAATATTACCCGTACTACCACGAACTCAAATATATAATTTAGTCCCAATTCCATGTCCAATTTCGTGTCCACAATTTTTACTAATTTTCATGTTAAAATTCATATACAATCCATGTATTTAACTCACAATGAGTAGGAATCACTTACCTCATGATAACAACAGTAACAACAACATACCCAGTATAACCACATAGTGGGATCTGAGGAGGGTAGTGTGTACGCATATCCTTACCTTGTAGCTGCCATGTCATGCCTAATCACCTCACTCCAACCCTTCTTTGGCCTACCTCTACCTCTCCTAAGGCCCTCCAATGTCAACCCCTCACACGTCCTTACCGGGGAGTCTGTGTTTCTCCTTCTCACATGTCCATACCATCTAAGCCTTGCTTTCCGCATCTTGTCCTTAATAGGGGTCACACCCACCTTGTCTTGAATAACTTCATTCTTAATCCTATCTAACCTGGTGTACCCCTACATCCATCTCAACATCCCCATCTCTGCTACCTTCATATTCTGGACATGGGAGCTCTTGATTGGCCAACACTTAACCCCATACAACATGATCAGTCTGACCACCGCTCTATAAAATATACCTTTAAGTTTTGGTGGGTCACTTCGCCAACTACCCTGACTAACAAGTGGAAGTGAAGGGAAAAGACAATTTGGTGCATTAAGCTAGGAATTTTAGAGAAAGGGTTGGTCAATTTATTGCACGCAATTTTATATTGCGTTTCTACAAGAAACGTTGCTTCAATTTTTACAAGATTATTATGAGATGCCCAACAAAAAGCGGACCTAAATAATTATAAATTTAAGGCACATGTATTTACTTTTATCAGATGCAATGCATTTATCAATTCCAATTATTTTCACATAAATTTTCCCAATCCATATATTAATAACTGGGTGATATGTTCCTAGAAGTAAAAGAAGTTAAACACATTTATGATTGGATTGATTAGGACAAAAAAAAAGTAAAGAAGTTCAGCACTGCACAATTTTAGGTCCTCCTAAGTCCTAATTCATAATGTTGACATATAACTTAAAAGCAACCATATTTAGTAAATGAAAACCAATTTTCTTATGTACGTGTTTGTGCTATCTATCTCTGAACCTAGACCACAAATGACAAAAAGAAAATGAGGTTAATTGCTAAGGACCTTTACCACGTAAAGCAAACAGAAAATATTCCAAAATGAGAAATTTTACTACATCTGATATTTTTTTATCAGGATGGATCTTGGAAAATATGGCTACATGATCATGCTCATTCTCAATTTATTTGGAATTATCATATCAATTCCCATTATCGTTATCCCCCTCGTAACAGTTGATAAATTTTGTCGTGAAACTTCAATGACAATGTTTTTAATTGCTGGAATCATGATATTTACATGGTCATTAGCAGGTCTCATAAGTTCATTATGTTGTTGGAAAATTGGTTTCCAGGAATTTATTTATATGAGATCACAGGTTTTTATCCTATTTATAGTAGTTATTTTGGGAACAATGGCGTGGTGGCAATCTAGAACAGATTCTCGTTTGTACACATATTATGACTGGGAAACTTTTAAGAATTGTATGGTGAAGAAACAAATTTGTCAAAGAAATTTGGGAAATGGATTGGAGAAATTGTCTCCATTTGCTTCACATTCCCTTCAGGTATTATTTGTTTTTAAGCTTTTGTGCTACACAAAATTCACATGCATTTACACCTGTATGATTTCTTCTGTTGTGATATCCATCATATATAGAATCAATATTACCATTTATATATACGACGGATCATTTCCAGATCAAATCCAGGCATATCAAAACGAGCCAAGTTAATAGATGGATCTTAATCAAACCTGTCCAAAGTTCGCTTGGATCGATATAAATTTGTTAAAATGGACAAATATTGGGTTGTAATTAACCCAACCCCATCCAATATGATGAAATCTCTCTTCTTCTTTTTTTGTTTTCTTGTTTTGCTCGTTGACATAATTCTATAAAATTAACATAATTCTCAATCTCCAAATTGCCATAATACCCAAATTCTTCGAGATTGATAAAATTTTCGATGTCAAAATTTGATTTTTCTATACGCTTTAGTTTATCTTGGATGTAGACCCATCAACGTACACTGTTTTGATCTATTTTGACCCCATATTTTCACGGGTCATTTCAACTTCAATTCATTAGATCAAGTCAATAGACGAGTAATGACCCAACCCCTTTACGCTTGGACGAATTAAGGTGGCTACAAATGAATGGGTCAAATGTTACTGCCTCTAATTGCAATCGATCATGCACGTAGAAATTAAGTTGCGCACAATTTCATTCAACTACTATGATATTTTACACTAAGACACCTTCATCAATTTGATATCTTCGTCTCCACTTTTCATTTGTCATTCATGTATAGCTTTTTTATATATTAATCATATAATTTTCTTGTTTTAGGATGCTTGTTGCAAGTACCCGAAGATATGTGATGCAAGAAACCCACATGACCCTTTAACTTGGATGGAAATATACGATGGTCTCCCAGCCACTGACAATAATCAACAAGGTGAAAAACAAAACAAGTCTAATAATGAAACTGATGGAGATTGTGGTAAATGGAGTAGTGATTCCAATAAGCTTTGTTTCGATTGCAATGTGTGTAAAAAAGGTTACTTGGACAAGCAAGATCAGAATTGGGTTACTGCATTATCGATTTGTGTTGTTAACAGTGTTGTCCTCCTTTCATTTTCTTGTTACTTTTATAGTAAGAATTTTGGGGAGCCTAATAGGGAAAATACTAAAAGCAGCAAAGTCCATCCTGCTGATGTATAGGATATGTAACAAAGTAGAGATATTGGTCCTATGTATCATATTTATATACGTATGTGTCCTCGGAGAATAGCTTGGTGACAAGTTTACTAGTTTCTTTTGTGTTGTTTATAACTTTGATTCTGTGCGAATTTAAGGCCGTAATAGGAACTAGATTTGCATGCCTTTTAACGAATTGACACGATGGATTGGTAGAAGAGTTCTATTAATAAAATTACCCTCTTTGAATCACTAGGAATAAAGTCTACTCCACAAACTAAATGCCCTTTTACTATGTGTATATTTGGAGAAGAAAGAAGAAGAGAAGTTTCTTAAAGAAGGAGCAGGAGTACGTTACTTCTTGGACACATAAAGAAAGGAGCAATTTTCATCACACTTTATATGTTAATTACCCCATCATTAATAGTGGTTGTATTGGTTTAAACTGCTAAGATAACTTCCATGTAACCTTTCATTCATATCCCCTTTTTAAATGGGTGGGGTCAGTTCAGATGCGTGACCTACGATCCAAAACCCAAATAACCAACATCTCTCACTTCGTCCATTGTGGACCGACCAAAAAAGCAGTACCATGTTAATTACACATATAGTTCATACAAGCAAATAGTTCTTGCGACCTAAGGGCACCATCAGTAGTTATACCTATTAAGGTTGTACAACAGCTCCATGTAAAAATTCAATCACATACGAAAAGGATTCACTACCAACACGAGGATCTTATTACTCGTAATACCCCAAAAATCATTTGCTACTCTAGTAGCTAGTTATCTGATCCTTCAACCTCTAATGAGGTGAACTCGAGTTCCTGTTTAACTTTGTATCACAATTAACTTAATACCATCCTGGTAAGTGTAATGGTCGATCTGCGAGCGCCAATTAAATTACTAATTTTAGTTGTCTTCTCTTTCGATTCGACTCTATCCATTCTAGATCAAATGCTTTCCTAGACATGCATTGCATCACTAGATCACTCATGACTATTAGTAACATGCTAAAGTAGCAACACTGATTCAAGAGACAATAAAAGGTCAAAGAGTATTCTAAAGAAAAGTCGATATTACTTTTCAAGGTCTCACACAATGAAGAAGCAGGGATCCTGTCACAATCCAAAATCCCGCCTTAGGCCTAGTGATGGCACCTAGTCTCTAAGACTAGGTAAGCCGATTTCTTACAACAATTAAACCAGTTAAACATGATATTATTAAAATAGAGTTTAATGTAAATACCGAAATAAATGTGACACAAGCCTACACGGCAACAATCACAATAATCCTCCCAAGACTAGGTAGTACAGAGTCACGAACTCTAGATGAATATATAGTAATATCTCAAAACGAGGTACAAAACTGTTCGGATAACGAATTAACTATACAATCAAAAGGAAAAGAACTCCAACGGACTGCGACGATCAGCAGCTCTACCTTGAATCCTCGCGTTCAAGAAGCTAACTCAACCCGAGTATGTTACCTCCAATACCTGGATCTGGAAAAAAAATGTACAGAAGTATAGTATGAGTACACCACGGTCGGTACCCAGTAAGTATCAAGACTAACCTCGATGGAGTAGTGACGAGGTACAAGTCAAGACACCTACTAGTCATAAAACCTGTGCAGTATATAAGTATAAAGCTAATAACGGAAACAAGAATCAATAATTGGCGACAAGGAAATAAACATGTGATAAATAATGAAGTAATCAGAATACCATAAAAATAACAGTGAAACCAATTAAGGGAAACAAATAATAACTGAATAATCGAACTGTTCTAACACAAGTTTCACCAAAACATTACTCTAAGATACCTCATATCATAAACACAAGTCACGAGTCCCAAATCATAAGTCATATGCTCACGGCACCTTGTGCCCACATTATTAATCACAATCGCACAGAGAACTCACGTACCAATATCTCAATCCGCTCGGCATGGTCACAGGCTCAATATCATAATGGAAGCAAATAATACAAGGATACATACGCATGATCTATGAATTTCATGTTTCATACTCCTGAACCGGTGTAATTGACATGCTACGTTGTATGCTTGTGCGAGTGTACTACTACAGCCCAAGTCAACAAGTTCTATCAAAGACATTGAGTAGCTCATTGAAAGCGAAACAACAAGTCACGTAAGGTACATGACATACACAAGGAATATCACACCATCACATGAATATCATCAACATTATATGCTCCCAGGCTATCACATATCATCCCTGACATAGTCCCATTTATCTCTCTATATTGACAACATCATAATAGCCACATTTACCACGCCGCCCAGACATTTAACACAATAGCCTCCCATATCACTCCTCATAATAGCCACCCGTATCGCTCTGCTCAGACAATAATACAATATCCACCCGTATCATTTCACCCTAACAATATATCAATAGCCACCCGTATCACTCCGCACAGATCAACAACGGTGAGATGCCACCCTTATGCTCCGCACAACAACAATCAATCCATACAACAAAACCACATGTGCTAACATCACAACAACACGGCATATCAACTCATACCACAAGTGCCTATAGGCCAAAACCTTTTCACAATAACATTACCAATATCACCACAACACATAACCCATAGTTAAATCATGATGTGTACATAAATCTCAATAACAACAAAGAAATGTAATGGGGAAAATAACTCAACAATGAACAACATACCATTAAACAACAACTTCAACGAAACAAGTTAATGGCTTTCAATAACTTCAACTTCAATTAACTGTTTAAGAATAGACTCAATAATGAAGGTATTTTCATGAAATTGCAACTTCAAATCCTTTTGAATGACATAAGCTAACAATGAAAGAGATGGGCATGAAATATCAACTACGTCTAAATGTATGAGAATAACCGACAACGAATAGATATCATATAACAACAATTTCAATTAAGAATAACTCAATAATAAAGGAGGTCACATTATTAATAAAAGAGGTAACAACTTCAAACAAAGCACATAAGAGTAAACTTGATTAGTAAAAGATATGACATGCACTGCAACTTCAAATAAATACATGAAAGAAGCCTAAGAGTCTAAAAAGGTTAATTTACACATATAAGCCCGATTACGCTCTCGTCACCTCGCATACACGTCTTTCAAATAATTCAAATAATACAATCAACCCCAATCCTCAGGGGTAGTTCCCCCACATAAAGTTACGCAAGATACTTACCTCAAAGAAGCTAAATTAATACTCTTAATAGACCTTCCCGTGTGAAACAACCTTCGGACGGCTCGAATCTAGCCAAAATAACTCAATATCATAAATAAAAGCCATAGAAAATAATTTCGAATGATAAAGCTTCGATCTTTAATGAAAACCAAAAAGTCCGCCCAAAAAGTCAACCCCTGGACCTTGCCTCGAAACCCGATAAAATTCAAAAGATTCGAACATCCATTCCATTGCCAGTCCAACCATACCAAAATTATCCAATTCCGACCTCAAATCGGCCTTCAAATCATTATTTTATATTTTAGAAGGTTTTTACAAAAGTCCCCAATTTTCTCCTATTCAAATCACTAATTAAATGATAAAAACAAAGACGGAATCATGAAATATAACCAAATCCGAGTCAAGAATACTTACCCCAATCCAAATGGTGAAAATTCCCTCCAAAATCGCCCAAAACCGAGCTCTATAACTCGAGATGTGATAAAAACAACCAAACCCTCGATATATAACATATTTCGCCCAGCACTTCTGCTTTTGCGCACCCTCAGTCGCACCTACGAAACCGCATCTGCAGATATATCATCGTAGATGAGGAAACAACTAAAGTCCCAAATGTCTGCTCCTACATCCAAGACACCACATATGCGGTGTCGCTTCTGCAAACAATGAAGCGCACTTGTATGGCAGCTTTTGCGACAAAACCTCTGCACCTGCGGAAACTTCCTACCCAACTCACTATCGCACCTACGCGTATCGACTCGCACCTACGGAGCCGCATTTGCGGGAATGGCATTGCAGATGCACAACAACTCAGCTCCCAATCAGCTTCCTTCTGCGCCCTCTCGTCCGCACCTGCGGTCACCACACCTAATCAAAATCCAAGGGGAGGAGAATAACATTAATCAATATTCTGAAGTTCAAATATGTGTTTTTTAATTTTTTTTTTTCACTTTTAGTAGCTTTTGCTATAAGAAATAACAAGAAAAATACCATTTATTGGAAAAGAAAAAGAAATCATATTTTACTTTTGTTTGATATTTAGGTCTTCCCATAAGGTTAATTCACATAAGTATATTTTCTCCTCTCGTCCTTCTTAATTTTCTTGTTTAAGCTTTTGATACATCCTTTTAAAGAATTATTTATTAACATTAATTATAAAGGGGAGAAAATGCATAAAGACCCCATTAAACTTGTTCGAAAAATTCATTTACACACCTTAACTTTACGGGTGTCCTAACACCCCACTATTCTTATCTAGACTAAATTTAATATCTCCTTCAAAATACCGAACCACTCTTATGGTGGGCTGTGTTTAACACACGCCATATACTGCACTATTTCATTTTTTATTTACTGTTTCTATCTTTTTTTCATTTCATCTTCTCCACCTTCCTTCATCACTATTCTAGCAGCCCGCCACCATGGAAGGTAGTCACAGCAATAACCTCCGTTAAACCCATAAACTCTATCTCTAAAAAATCAAAACCACCTCCCCCTGCCACTCCACACCCAGATCTAAAAGAATAGGAGAGAAAATTTCTTGTACGAAAAATGGTATTGGCGAAGATCAAGCTCTCCAATCAAGTGTTAAAATTATTCCAACCTAAATACATGACCCAATTGCTTAAGAGAACTTATGTTTCTATCAAATCGAGGAGATTAAAGAGAGAATGTATGAGCAATGAAATGGAGTTTGTAAAGGTAGGTGAATATGGTGGGGGAAAAGAGGAGTATGAATAGAGATTCAACAAGAAAAAGAGAAGCAAAAAATAAAACATGACTAGTTTCAAAGCATTGGGAAGAAGAGGATGGCAGGAGATGATAATGGCAGGCCAGTGGAGAACCATGGTTCTCTAAAAACGAAGAAAGAGAAAAAGAAACGAAAAAGAAAAGAAAAATGAATAAGAAAAGAGAAAAAATTAGTATTAAGTTTAATTAGTTAGAGTATCCAATAGGAAAGTGACACCTAGACAATTAAAGTAGTTGTAAGCTATTTTTTTGTGCCTCACGCGCTTCTAGGAAATGAACTGCACTTTTCATGCCAGGTTATCACTCAATGGGGTATTAAATTCACTTAAAATTAGAATAAGGGGGTAAAAGGTCGCTCGTAAAGTTAAGATGTGTAAATAATTTTTCCTGGCAAGTTTAATGGATACTCTATGCATTTTCTCTTATAAAGGGTATCTGACTAAATTACTCTTTCCAATCGCGTGGTGTATTCAATTTAATTTACTCCTAGAAACTATCAAAACGTGTCATGTTCATGTCCAAACAAATAAAATGATAAATTTTTTACTACATGAAGAATCAACTTGTTTTGAACATTTCTCCCATTCCTCTAATGTTATTAAACAAATTTTAACTCGTTCTTGTCCATGTTTTTCTCCGGCAAACTCCTCGTGATGTATGTTTCATAGGTGGAACTGCATTGAGAATCAATTAGGACTATCTCAATCAATATATCACCTATTCCTTTTTTCAAATTAGTTGAGATCAACTACACGAATCGTTTATAGTCCTTTAGTTTTATTAAGATCCATTTGCTTGAAGATTTTTCTATAGTATTGTTGAAATGAAGGGCGTAAAATGGGACGAGGCAAAATTGGAGGAAATAGAGGCAAACAAACCCGAGAGAATGAAGATAACTGAGCCCAAGACACCATTTCATCACGTCAAGATTGATGATGAGAACAATTTTGATGAGGATTGCAATGGTAGCGATGTGGATGATGACATGGCATCATGTTCAAGTAAAAGTAGTAAATCTCCTAATTATAAGGATGATCGTGAAGATCATGCCATGGATGATGATGATGATGATTCAGAGGAATCAGAAAGGAAAAGGAGTTTCATAGAGCATAGAAGAGGGCATTATGATGAATATAAGAGAATCAAAGAGCTACAACGAAATGGTTCATTTCTTGCAGAACCTTCTGATGATGAAGAGGATGATTTATCATTGGAAGATGGTGTTAAGGGCAAAGAAATTGAGAAAGAAAAAGCAGACACTTCTGCATAGTGATCATCTAATCTTGTTTCCATTAATGTTGTTGTCTTTTTCTTTTTCTGGTTTAACCATTCAATATAGACAGCTCACATGATCTACATTTGCGCTATAGATAGGACTAATTTTTGTAGAATGCGATTTATCGTCTTAGTCGCCTACTGGTGCGAAGATCTTAAGCTCATTCTGGTCGGATTAATCTACATTTGTGACAGATAAGTCCACTGAGAAGGTAAAATAAGGTTTTCCATTCTCAAATTTCGATCCCAAAGACATGAATGTTGATGAAATGACACCGTTGTTGGTAAAACTGCTGTTTTCGTTTTTTTTTTTCCTTTTCATGTGTATATTTTTCTTGCAAGTTGTATGGCACATCTTCCTTTTAGATGTCAATGGCTGCCATCACTTTTTGCTAGAGAAATGAATTATTAATGTTATGCGATCATTATAGTGGAAAATGATGTGTCAAGTTCTTTCATTAGATGAATACGCCGATCTTTATATATTTTGGCCACGTCCCTTTCTGCTCCAAAGAAGAAGGTTTGGATCTTTCAATCTTATATCGTGAGGCATGTGACCTATATTAGGTCCATAAGATACCACAGTTTTTGGTGTTCTATGATTCACCTCCGAATAATGAGTAGGTAGTTCAATCCTTTGTATTTTAATCTTTTTAGTAAACTGATGGGGGGATGCGGAGCAATAGGTCGAATTACTATATAAAGAAGAGTTGTAAACTATAGGACTTCTTGTTCGAGTAGGAATATTTCGGTTTTTCTCATTCCTTCTCCTCGATAAGAATAGGGATTTGAAATGATACAAAATCCTCTTCATTTTGTTATGTTCAATGAAAGAACTGCCTAAGCATACTTTTTCGGATCCAAACTTCTTTGTTCTCTCTAAGTCTTCTTCTTGCATAGAAGAACGCAACTGTTGCAAAAACTGGGATTGTAGTAGTAGGTGGCATCCCCTCTTAGTTTTGACTTTTGAGTAGGCGTTTTTCATAGTTGGCATTGTTGTTTCAGTGACCGATTATACTGTTTGGATTTGATACGTTTTCCCTGGTTTCAGTTTTAATCTTAGGACAAATGATGAGAAGCTACTTCATTCCTATTTTCTTTAGTTTGTTATTAGTAACTATATTATTATTTCTGTCTTTCTTTTTAAATTTTTCTTAGGGTCTGGTTCTTAATTTGCTTCTATGTATCCTTTCTCGCATGATTTCAAATGTTACGTGCCTTTGAGAGAAAGCTAGAAAGGGTTGTGTTCGAATGGTTATATATATAGTTGAAAACTTCCTTTTCATATTGAAAAAGAAGAGCAGTTTATCAGGGATTAGAAACTTAAGATATCCAATTACCAAATCTCCTTACAAAACTTAACCTTACCTCAAACTTATTTAACCTGATAATTCTATAAAAGACAAATAGCATGTAGTCATATAAAAGGTGTAAAATTGAAAAATAGCCACTTTAAACTCATGCTATTAGAGTTAACCCAATATTTAAAAAGCTATTAGCATTTAGCCACTCATTTCACAAGAAAAAATATCAAAAACACCCTCAACACAGACACAAGAAACAACTCTGGCAAGAGGTACTGGAATTCAAAGACTTGATAAGGTGAACCCTACTATACTATTCTGGGGTTCAAAATTTTGCTGAATTTTTAAACCGCAGCAACATATCATGGGATTCAAATTCCTATAGCTTTAAACTCCAGCAATAATTCCTAGAGTTTAAACACTATCTAGTTTGAACCCCAGCAATTATTCTCCGATTGGAGTTGGCTGATTTTAGAGCAAGCAGAATTGAGCAATTACAGAGAAGTGACAAGCCATAGCCTATAAGAGAACTTATGGAAGCCAAAGAATGTTTGGCCATCAACAGCAATTATCTGCATTTTCCCATAGAGAAATAGCGCTAATACAAATAGCGTGTCTAATGCAGTGTTGAATTTTTGGCGTGTGAATCTTTTGGCGTTAAATTTTAGAACTTTTGGCACTTGGGAAGAGCACTATTAACTCCAAACACCATAATTAACAGGCTATGTTATTACTTACTTTTTTATGCTCAAGTCAACTTATGCACGCTTCAACTATTCCACCTAGTAATTGTCACCTCCCTCGAACAAAAATACTCCCTCCGGTCCAAAATAAGTAATTTTTTGGCCTTTTTCTTGTGGTCCAAAATAAGTGATTTTTCCAGATTTCAAGGATTGAATTAATTATTTTTTTCCTACATTGTCCTTGAAGTAAATAGTGTTGGAATATGTGTTAGGAGTGTTTATGTGAGATAGTAAAGGTTAATATGGTCAATTCCATTAGTAATTAATGCTAAAAGGTGAATTTCTTAATCTGTGTGAAAACATCCAAAAAATCACTTATTTTGGACCGGAGGGAGTACCAAATAACTCTACCTACAACCGAAGTTACCTCTGTGATCATCACTGCAAAACTCATTGTTTCAAAACCAAACCTAACGTCCTCAGAGGATCAGAATTATATGTGCAACTAATCCAGGATGACAGTTTCTGCTGTTAATTTTGTTTATTAGTTCTGGGTGAAGATAATGGAACAAGAGTCAAATAGTGTCCTTTCCTGTAAAACCCAGATATGGAAAAAAGTTGGAGCAAAGGGAAAGAAAGAAGTTATAAGCAAATATACTAAAGTTCTATGGTGGCTACATAAAAACAAAACGAAGGCGCATAATACTTTGAAAATCAATCCTTCTCAAAAAAAAAAAAACAAAGAAACGAGCAAGTTGTACTACGGTTTATTGCAGCTACATGACTTGCTATCTACAAAACATTTGGACCAGTCACCTCAACTACAAAAAGCTTTCTGACTAAACAACTAAGTAGTTTTCCCTCAACTGATATTAGTGCCCCTAAAAGAACCAAACTTACTTATATTGCTTCTCTCTAACGGCATTACCGTTGTTATGGCTGCCTCGAATCACTGTTCAACAACAGTCACTTGTTCAAACTCAATAAGGGACAGATTGTTGTCTTCCTTGACAGAGAAACTAGCAGGTTCAGTAACTTCAATACGTCCCCATCTGTCCACTGCAAGTCTCATCGATCCCTTGAACATGTCAATTTTAGCATTGCGCAAAATTACAGTAGCACCTTCTGTCATCATGTCAACTGAAAAAGAAATCCCCAAGTTAATAGAAGGAAAAGGTAGCGACACACGATGAAATCCCAAACACAATCCACGGAAGCAGTGGGAAAAAAAATAGAGAGATTCAAGATACACTAATTGTTTTTAACCTATAATGTAAAAGAGACATGTTATTTGACAGCATAGTGGTGATAATTTCAAAATCAATCACCAAAATAATTACACTAAAAAGTTACCAGCTTTCCAAAATGAAGGAGCCTATGAATCCAAATTACAGCCATCACATGAAGAGATGGGAAGAAAAACAGCATCGCCGAATTGGCCGAGCAATTCAGGAAAGCTGAATATGAAAGCAGTGAAAAGAAGAACCTCCCTGACTAAATATTTAATTTCACAATTCTCCTTCCTTTAAAAAATTTATATGATGCTTACAAGATGCAGAAACAGATAGAAAGTCAGCTTCTAAAAGACTGAGCTCAGTTTGCTAAATTTTGAAAGAAGCCAAGCATGGCTTGGATCGCACAGCCAACTATATGAAAGAAACTTAAGCAATGATTCCCTAATATATCTGATATCATACAGTTCTTCCAGTAAAGACATGTAACATACCAACAAATGAATGATATCTGTACTTGATGGCTTGCCTTAATTACTTATGCAATTTTTCGTCACAAAACTAGAGACGTAATTAAGGTTTACAGAATAGCGGGGCTCTTTTGTTTTTTTTTTTTTAATTATCAGAAAGTTATTTGCTTTTAACTACTCCAAGATTGAGCTACACAGAAGAATACAACAACAACAGACCCAGTGTAAACCCACAAGTAGAGTTTGGGGAGGGTAGTATGTACGCAGATCTTACCCCTACCTTCAAGAAGGCAAAGAGGTTGTTTCCGAAAGACCCTCGGCTTAGGAAAGATAAAAGGAAAGGGCAACAGCAAGCACACCAACTAGAAAACCGAAGCAAAAATACAAAGGTACAAAACTGAGTAGTGTAATCAGAAGGCTGAAATGAAAGCAACGACAAGTAATCACAAACGTTAAGGAATACGAAAATACATAAATAACACTAACTCATGTACTAAAGCTACTGTTACAGACAAGGACAACGCTACTAGTGTTATCAAAGGCAAAAATTGCAAAAAAGCTCTAAGGTCCGTTGGGGCTTTAAGCGCAAAGCGCAATAAAGCGTGGGCTTTAATGAAAAAAGGCGCAACGGGAGAAAAAGTAAAAATATGCATGGTGTCCAAGACTAATCATTATAAGCATGAATAACAAATATATGGACAAAGAAATTGAAAAACAATTCACGAAAAAGTGAAATATCAATTATTTAAGGTCGTCTTTCCAGGATTACACTCATTGGCAAGGAAAAGTATGCCTTAGAGCTTTGATGCGACACTAAAGCGCCCACAAAGCGAGGCGAAGTGCTCAACGTGTTTGAGCCTCGCTTCAGGGCTTAAGCGCGCCTTTGACAACACTGAACGCTACGCGACCTATCCTAACCCTTTACCTTTATTCTCAACCTCCACACCTTCCTATCCATGGTCATATCCTCAGTGACCTGGAGCAACGCCATATCTTGACTAATCACCTCTCCTCAATACTTCTTCGGCCTACCTCTACCTCTCCTTGGGCCCTCCAGGGTCAACCTCTCACACCTGCTCACCGGTGCATCTGTATCTCTCCTCTTCACATGCACGAACCATCTAAGTCTCGCCTCCCGCATTTTGTCCTCCACATGGGCCACGCCCACCTTGTCCCAAATAACTTTATTTTCAATTATATCTTGCCTGGTATGCCTGCACATCCATCTCAACATCCTCAATTCAGCCACCTTCATCCTTTGGACATGGGATCTTGATTGGCCAACACTCCGCCTCATATAACGTAGTCGGTCTGACCACTGCTCTATAAAATTTACCTTTAAGTTTAGGTGGCACATTCTTATCACACAAAACACTTGAAGCAAGCCTCTATTTCATCCATCCTGCCCCGATACGATGTATAACATCCTCGTCGATCTCTCCATTCCCTTGTAGAACTAACCCATGGTATTTAAAACTCTCTCCTAGGTATGACTTGAGAATCAAGCCTCACTTCTTCGTCCACAACCTGAGTTGTCCCAGTGAACTTGCACTCCAAATATTCGTCTTGGTCCTGCTCAACTTGAAACCTTTAGACTCCAGGGTTTGCCCAAATCTCTAACCTCCCGTTAACACCGCCTTGCGTCTCGTCAATAAGAACAATGTGATCTGCAAATAACATACACTACGGCACCTCTCCTTGTATTTGGCGAGTCAGCGCGTCGATCGCCAAGGCAAATAGAAATGGACTGAGGGCTGACCCCTGATGCAACCCCATCA